CCATTCAGATGAAATTTAACAGTATACACCCAACGATAACCAACAGTTCGTCTACCAGGAGGTAAAGGAATGAGATCCTAAGTTCCATTATGATTTAAGATATCCATCTCCTCCTCCATAGCTTTCCTCCAACCAGGGTCAGATAACGCATTCTGTAAGTGCTTAGGAATAGATATAGCAGATAATTGAGAGGTAAAAGATGAGAAGACAGGAGACAAGGTATCATATAAAACAAAATGAGCAACGGGATGATCAGTAACACATGAACGAGTACCTTTTCGAAGAACAATAGATAAAAAGTCTANCACTAAAGAAATCAAGATATGAACAGATGAAATTTTGGCAACAGGAGAGAAAGTCTCATAATCAACACCATAGGTCTGAGTAAAGTCATTTGCAACAAACCGAGCTTTGAGACGCTCCACAGAACCATTCGGATGAAATTTAACAGTATACACCCAACGATAACCAACAGTTCGTCTACCAGGAGGTAAAGGAATGAGATCCTAAGTTCCATTATGATTTAAGATATCCATCTCCTCCTCCATAGCTTTCCTCCAACCAGGGTCAGATAACGCATTCTGTAAGTGCTTAGGAATAGATATAGCAGATAATTGAGAGGTAAAAGATGAGAAGACAGGAGACAAGGTATCATATAAAACAAAATGAGCAACGGGATGATCAGTAACACATGAACGAGTACCTTTTCGAAGAACAATAGATAAAAAGTCTAAATTACTTGATGTACCAAGATCAGAAGGCAGCAAGGAAGACAGTACGAGTACCTTAGTCGATGGGTGAGGACGACGAGAGTATACACGAAGAGGTAAAGTAGATGGTAACACAGTAGGTAGCGGAATATCTAAAGATGAAGTAAGAGATGGTGGTACAAGAGACAACTCAAAGTCTAGATTCAAAGGCTGAGTAGGTGTTGAAAAATATGGAACAGATTCCTCAAACGTGACATCGGCACTAGTAAAGTATCGTCACAGAGAAGGACTATAGCAATGATACCCTTTTTGTGTGCGAGAGGATCCAAGAAATACACATTTGGTTGCTCGAGAGTAAAGTTTATCAAACCTAGGGCCCAGATTGTGAACATAACAGACACATCCAAAAATCTTAGGAGTTGGGAAAAATAAGGACTTACCAAGAAAAATGATAGAATATGGACTTTGCCTATTTAACATAGAAGATGACATANTAGTACGAGTACCTTAGTCGATGGGTGAGGACGACGAGAGTATACACGAAGAGGTAAAGTAGATGGTAACATAGTAGGTAGCGGAATATCTAAAGATGAAGTAAGAGATGGTGGTACAAGAGACAACTCAAAGTCTAGATCCAAAGGCTGAGTAGGTGTTGAAAAATATGGAACAGATTCCTCAAACGTGACATCGGCACTAGTAAAGTATGGTCACAGAGAAGGACTATAGCAATGATACCCTTTTTGTGTGCGAGAGGATCCAAGAAATACACATTTGGTTGCTCGAGAGTAAAGTTTATCAAACCTAGGGCCCAGATTGTGAACATAACAGACACATCCAAAAATCTTAGGAGTTGGGAAAAATAAGGACTTACCAAGAAAAATGATAGAATATGGACTTTGCCTATTTAACATAGAAGATGACATACGATTAATAAGATGACAAGCAGTAAGAATAACATCACTTTAAAAATATTGGAGAATATTCATCTGGAATAACCGGGCACGGGTGACTTCCAACAAATGATATTTTTTGCATTTAGCAATACTATTCTGTGTCATAGTAAGTCTGATGAATAATGCCAGGTTTACTGAGATAAACTGAAAAAAGATCAGATTCATATTCTCAAGCATTATCAGAACGTAAAATACGTATACAACAGCCATACTGAGTTTTTATTTCATTTCAAAAAGTTTCAAATATAGAGAATAATTCAGAATGAGCCTTCATCAGGAACAACCAGATCACATGAGAATAATCATTCACAAATGATACAAAATAAGAATATTTATTAGATAAAATATTCTTTATTGGACCCCATACATCAGAATGTACCAACTCAAATAGACTAGACACACAATTATTGACTTTAGACTGAAAAGACACACGGTGATGCTTACTAAGTTGACAAGCTTCGCAAGACAAAGACGACATATAACTAAAATTGGGAACTTGACGCTTCAAATTTTGGAGAGAAGGATGTCCAAGACGACAATGCCATTGAAAAGGAGGTTTGTAAAGTCCGAGTAGGTGAATCACAATCAAAGTAATATAGGCCACCAGCTTCATGCCCCGTACCAATCTTCTTCTACGTCTTGAAATCTTGAAATACACAATAAGAGGGATAAAAGGTAACGGAACGTTTGAGAGAACGAGTAATTTTGCTAATGAAAAATAAACTAAAAGGAACTGAGGAACAAATAATACGGAGGATAGGGACATATCAGGACTTAAGTGAGTAGTTTTCAAACCTGAAACTTTAGAACAAGTACTATTAACAAGAGTAACACTACGTGTGGAAGTAGCAGACTGATAAGTAGAAAAAACCCCAGACGCATCAGTTATGTAATTAGAAGTGCTAGAGTTTATGATCTAGGGACTGTGAGTAGACGATAATAAATAAGTGGAAGAAGTACCTGACAAAAATAGTAGTGGAGGGAGATGGAACAGCCTATTGGTGGGATAGGAACTAAGCATACTCTTCTCGTGTAATAGTAGCCAATTCAGTGTTTGATGGAGCTGTCTGAGCTATGGAAGCAACAACTGAGGTGTCATNTGTGTGGAAGTAGCAGACTGATAAGTAGAAAAAACCCCAGACGCATTAGTTATGTAATTAGAAGTGCCAGAGTTTATGATCTAGGGACTGTGAGTAGAGGATAATAAATAAGTGGAAGAAGTACCTGACAAAAATAGCAGTGGAGGGAGATGGAACAGCCTATTGGTGGGATAGGAACTAAGCATACTCTTCTCGTGTAATAGTAACCAATTCAGTGTTTGATGGAGCTGTCTGAGCTATGGAAGCAACAACTGAGGTGTCATCCTAATAGGAAGCCTAATTAGCAGCAGTATAAGGTTTTTCATGTAAATTTCAATAAAAATCAATAGTGTGCCCTCCACGACTACAGTGAGTACGGGAATGAGATCCACTACGGCCCCCACGACCACCTATACGACCTCCACGACCATCACGTCCACCTCGATGACCATCACTGTGGCTACTAGGAACCACAAGAGTTGAGCAATTAGTGGAAACACTATGATCAATGCCTGAAGGGGCAGACAAAGTAGCACGCTATAAACAAAAGAAAATCTCAAGCAGTGAGAGAAGACTAGAGCCACCCAAAATCTGAGAATGAATAGCCTTATATTCAGGTTTTAATCCTACCAAAAACCTAACAACATTTAGATCCTCATGTTGTTTCTTCCAAATTGCTGCATCAATAGTAAACAGATGGTAGGTCTTCATCTCCTCATAAACTTCCCGAACGTGAGAATAATAATTCTCAAGGCTCAGAGTACCTTGTTTCAGATGGAAGTACTCCTTGCACACCTCATAAGCACGGATAAAATTACCTGTACCAGAATACATGGTGGCCAAGTGATCCCATATCTTTTTGGCAGTGTCAAGATAGAGCAGAGTAGAGCTAATACTAGATGAACCGGATTGTAGAAACTTACTGGACCGCCGAACCGGACAGTAGAAACTCACAAGACCACTGAACCAGAGCAACAACTGAACTGGACCACTGAACCGGAGCAAAAATTGAAGGAACAAGTTTGAACCAGCTTAATCTGGATCAAACTAGGGTTGAATTGAGACTGAGCCGGACTTGGACCGGTCCGGTCTGAAGGCTACTGGATCAGAACTGAATCTCCTGGATCTGGATCTGAATCCGAGTCTGGATCTCTGGATCCGGGTATGGGTATGGATTTGGGCCNTAGATGGAAGTACTCCTTGCACACCTCATAAGCACGGATAAAATTACCCGTACCAGAATACATGGTGGCCAAGTGATCCCATATCTTTTTGGCAGTGTCAAGATAGAGCAGAGTAGAGCTAATACTAGATGAACCGGATTGTAGAAACTTACTGGACCGCCGAACCGGACAGTAGAAACTCACAAGACCACTGAACCAGAGCAACAACTGAACTGGACCACTGAACCGGAGCAAAAATTGAAGGAACAAGTTTGAACCAGCTTAATCTGGATCAAACTAGGGTTGAATTGAGACTGAGCCGGACTTGGACCGGTCCGGTCTGAAGGCTACTGGATCAGAACTGAATCTCCTGGATCTGGATCTGAATCCGAGTCTGGATCTCTGGATCCGGGTATGGGTATGGATTTGGGCCTAAGAATAGTAATGCCCGTGGACTTGGATCTATTACTCAAACCCGCAAACCGACCCACTTGAATCGTCTTCTTCACTGATTAGGATTTCAACCAAACCCTAATCTTTGCTATATCTATCGATTGTGCTAAGGGAACACCACCACAGACGGCACCAAAACCAGACGCCACCAGCGTCGACTACACCAACGCCGACTGCACCACCACGAAGCAAAAAAACAAACCAGGTGCCACCAAGTTGACTGCACCAACGTCAACTGCCACAACCACAACAACAACACCCCATCGATGGGTCACAACAGTTTGAGTTAATATTTGTATTTAGAATAGTTATGCTCTGATGTCATATTAAGTTGAGAGAATTAACACAATATTAAAGAGAAATAGAGAGGGGTCAAAAAATATGACCTACTTCTCATACATCACTTGTATTTATAGTTAACTTACAATAATCAGAAAGACAAATACATCCTGTTATATTTACACATACTGCCCTAATACTCTTAAGAGCCTTCATTGGGCTGAAGTGGATGATGGCCTTGCTACGCAGTGGGAGTGGTGTCGTGATTGTGATGATGATGGGTTATGCCGGGGATGATAATGATAATGATCGTGAAGAACATCGGGTGAAGAGGTTGTGGGTCATTGTTTTTTTTTTTTTTAGGGGGGGGGGGAAGGGGTGGATGAGGCTTCAATGATGGTGGCTATTCATTTAGCGTAACTAGGGTGATTCTTGTGGGGAGAAGATGAGCATGAACCTTTTTTGTTAAAAGAGAGAACAAATGACAATTGTATCCTCGCTCAAACTGTTCCAGAAGTGTAGATTTTTGGACCAAAATGCAAAGTTAAATTTGGGGACTGAGCTAACATCATCATATCGTATGGGACCTTAGCATCTCCAATCTCTCTCTCTCCCTCTAACACACACACATACATGAACAAGGTATCTTTGAGGTGTGATGTATTATTTTACCTTTTCACGGTGACCGCATGCAAGTGGTTATTATGATACACCCTTAATAGAAGATCTTGGGTGAATTGGATGAGAGGATGCAACTTGCATAATCGATTGCAGAATAATTGGACAGCCTTGGATGACTTGATACAATAACTTGCTGGTTTTGCTGCATAGGGGTCAACTTTTTCCCCTTCTTAGAGTGGAATCACATACTTTCTGTGGTTAATAAGCCCCAAGTGGAGACAAACGCTGTCATTTTTTTTCATCATCATCATTTGTCCCCTTCCTCCTTATTCCTTTGCAAGTTAATAAATTCTTTTTTGGATCTACTTGTAATATTTTTTGTGTATTACTGATGAAATCCTGTAATCTCTGTTATCCAGCTACAAATATCTCCTGCAGAAGCAGCATCAAGGTCAACATCTTGTACAGACGAAGAGGTTACTAGGTATAGTGAAACGTTTAGAAGAAGGCTTATTCAGAACTGCTGCCACAAAGGTTTCTTTTCTTTGTGATTTTTCTTTTTGGTTATTCCTTTACTTGCATTGAATTTTTTAAGTTGCTTTGAATAAAGCCAAATCACAGAACATAACTGCTGCCAATTCTTTTTCTCTATACTTTTGGGCTACCTTTCTATTTTCTCTTGGAGTATAGATAGGTATTATTTGGGTGGTGAACTATTCATCACAGTTTCTTATACTTTAATGAAGCATTAGTTATACAGCCACATAATATGTTCCTTTCTCCTTTTATATGACATGCACTCTCCTGTACCACTAGGAGGAATATATTAACCTGGAGACTTTGGAGAGTCGTTTACATGCTTTGATCAAGTGCCTTCCTCGAAGTAATCACAGTGAACAATATCCTCAACATGACAGTTATTCTTCCTCCATTGGTACAATGATACCAACTCCTGGTATGCCCCAAAGTGGAAGCTCAAGCTTGCTGGTTACCTCATCTTCGAAGGCTTCTGTGATCGCTTCTGGTGGTTCTAATAGCGTTGCATCCACAACTGTCGACATGGGAAGCTCCATTTCAACTGCCAATGGACTTTCTGATGGCATACGCAGTGGTTCCTCGGATTTGTCTGATGGTACTTTTATTTCTAGTTATCTTGAGGATTATGCTATCAACTTCTATTCTTTATTCCTATGTAACAGAATCACCATCTGCAGGAACATTGCGTAACGGATACCAACAGTCACCTTCTAATTTTTCCATCAGTTCTGGTGGCAATGGCATTGCGTCGGCAATGGAAATACAGAGGATGAATAACCAAATGATACCTATTCCTGGATTTAATAGTAATAATAATCAGTCATACATGAATTTGGCGTCTCGGAATAATGTTGGTGGGTTTTCGTGTGCTGAATCTACAATGCTGTCTCAGTCACTGCAACAAAGGCAGCATGTTGGTGGTCAAAACAGTCATATATTGCATAACCTTGGCAGCCATATTGGTGGTGGTATTAAGTCTGGTTTGCAGCAGAAATCCTATGGGTTTTCAAATGGGGCCTTAAATGGTGGGTTAGGAATCGGGAGTAATTTACAACTGGTGAATGGTCAAGAAGCTGCTGAGGGCTATCTGACAACTACGCTGAGTGGCAATACACCCAAACCTTCGCGATGTTACGATCATCTGCGTCCATTAATGCTGGGTATTCTCTCTCTCTCTCTCTCTCTCTCTCTCTCTCTCTTACTTTTTAAAGCAAATGGTAGATATGTTCTTTTTTCTCAGTATTCTCAGAGAGAAAATTTCATTTTGCAGGTGATGAATATGGGATGAGTACTGCTGATTCTTCTGGGTCTGCAGACTCCTATGGCTCTATAAACGCTACCGGATCAATGATAAATAATCAGAACTTGGGTCCAGTAAGCTTGCAGGCTCTACCGAAAACAAGCTCTTCTTTGACTATTGGTCAGTCGAACTTGCACACTACTCAGCAGGCTTCAAATGTGAAGCCTCAATCATTTGATCACTCAGGTAAAATAGACTTTCAGTCTCTACATTCACTGCAAGAGATCCTACAACCTAAAAAGGAACAGCTTCCTCAGTTTCAACAGCAACTTGTTCAACATCAGCACAAACTGGGGCAACAAAGTAAGCAGCACCAGTTTGGGTTGAAGAATGATGCTTTTGGTCAGTCGAAGCTAACATCTGATCTGGGCAGTCAAACAAAGCCTGAGCCTGGGTTGGAGCATCATGCTAAAGTTCTGCATTCACAAGTCTCTGAAAAGTTCCAACTTGCTGGGCTGCCGAACAAATTCCAACATTACTCTGCAGAATTTGATTCTAGAGGAATTCAGTTGTTCTCTCTTCCACCTGGCCCACAGGATATTTGCTCTTCACTTGCTCAAACTTCACAAGAGATACAACATTTGTTGCATCCAAGTCCCTTGGTTTCTGATACTCAAAATGATTTCAGCTGTCTTCCCAGTGGAGTTAAATCAGATGCAGTACTGCAAGGTCAGTGGCATACTAAATCCCAAGTTGGTTCTCAGCTGATGGGGAGCTTGTCAAATGATGAGGACGTTCAGAAGGAATTCTGTCAGAGAATAACTGGGCAAGATGAGGCTCAGCGAAATAAATTATCCTCAGAAGTATCTGAAACTATTCGTAGTAGAACACCAGAGCCCCCAAATCCAAGTGGTGCTACGTGTAGATCAAGTAATCTAAACCGCGATCGGCAGTTCAGGAATCAACAGAAGTGGCTGTTGTTCTTGATGCATGCATGCAAATGTTCCTCTCTGGAAGGCAAATGTCTTGATGTAAATTGCATAAATGCTCAGAAACTCTTGAAGCATATGAAACAATGTAATTCAGCTCAATGTTCATCTAGAGGTTGCCCTCAGACCAAGATATTAATTAATCATTACAGGCATTGTAGTGATTTAAGATGTCCTGTTTGCCTACCTGTAAAGAATTACAAAAAGATGCGCCCAAAGGCTTGCAGGCATTCCAATTCCAATTCTGGCTTGTCATGTTCAACCAATGGATCCTATAAATCCTATGCTACCAGAGAAAGTGCTGGTAGATTGACTTCGTTACTTGTTGAAACGCCAGAAGATTTTCAAACGTCCCCGAAACGCATGAAGATTGAGCAACCTTCTCAATCTCTTGCTTCTGAAAGTGAAAGTTATGTCATACCCGTTCCTGCAATTACCGAGCCTCATGTTCTCCAAAACGAACAACATGTTGACATTCTTATGTCAATGAACTCTGAAGTTTCTGAAGTAAAGATGAAGGATAATGACACAGATGATACATGTGTCCAAATGCCTGATGCTGATCCTATTATATTTGATTATCCTACTGGTTTTGCTAAGCAGGAAGGCATTAAGATTGAGCAAGAGGTGGACCAGGTTAAACTGGAGAATGTGACACTGCCTGCAGAAAATGTTGCTGGAACCAGGTCTGGGAAGCCAAAGATAAAGGGAGTTTCATTGACCGAACTGTTCACTCCAGAACAAGTTCGGGACCATGTTATAGGTCTCAGGCAGTGGGTTGGCCAGGTCAGTTGTATGAATGAATCTGTCTCTGTTAACTTATCTTATTTCCTAAAAAGCACGGATTTTGATGTACGACATGGACATGACATTTTTCAAAAAAAGTAGGACACTTACACAACTGTTGGCGTGTACCATTTTCTTGGAAGGTAGTGTGTACCATTTCAGTTGAACTTGCATTACAAATTTTGTTTTATTTTTCAAAAATCAACCCTTTTTTTTTCCTGAAGCATCAGACTAATGAGATAAAGCTACAATTCAAATAATTCTCTTTAACTGTCTAATGAAGTTATTTTGGACACCAAATGCTCCAAATCGTGTTAGTCATTTATATGGTACGATTTATTTTTTGTTTTTGCATAAAACAGTTTAGTTGTCCTAATGGAAAACTGGTAGGATCCAATGGTTTTTTTGGTCACCAGCAGTAGGATTTGTTGTTTATTTTCCCTAGAAAATAACATAGCATGTAGAGTGATTTGGTTAACCCATTTATGATATCTACTCTTCCCAACCTCCTTGGTGGAGGCTCGACCCACTGCAATTACTTTTCAAGGATCACCCCAACTAACCTTGTGGTTTACATAAGCAAACCACCGCCTAACATAGAAATTACTATAACTAGGATTTACTACAAGTTTTCAATGGTCATTTCCGTAAATACCTAGTGAAATTTAGCTAAGGTCCCCAGTGGAATTTTGTGAAGGTTTTTTTCCTGAGGTTCACATACAAGCAAGGATTGGTGCATTGTTTTGGTCATTTAAGAAACATAAACGTTTCCACCAATTTCAGAAGTAGAATGAAAAAAATAAAAAAATAAATTTTTTTTTTCAAAACATTTGTCAAAATATCCAAAGTATTTTGAAATATTTCAAAACAATTGTGCAAATGCATTGACATATGACAAAACATCTCGAAACATTATGAAATACCTCGAAGTATTAGAATTTCGATTCTATCACTGATTCATTTCAGTCTCTTTGGAAACAGAAATGTTTTGGACGTTTCAAAGTGAAATTTTGATCCTTGCATACAATCAACTACAAAAAAAGGGCCTTACTACTAAGGACTTGATAGGCACACTTGAGTCAATGAGCAACATGTATTATATTGCTACAAGCTTTCCCAAATCTCTCCATGAGTAGTTGATGTGTATTGAGGATCAGATTCTCAAAATCGTCCATACTCTCTTTGTCAATGAGCGAAAATACATGTAGGTGTGTTTCTAACGGATAGTCCAATGGTTAGGAATTTCAAATTCTTGACTGGCCTAGTCGATTGAAACAGTGGCTGTCTATTGGAAAGTGGTGTGTTCTATTTTTTTATTTTCTTATTTTTCTTCAGTCTGGAGCTTGCTAGGCAACATAGGGACAGGTGCCTAACTTAATTTGACTTCCTACAACTCTAGATACTACTCTCTCTAGTATCAAGTTTCTGAATGTTTTGCTTGACAAATTATGTTTTTTTTTAACTTGAATGCCTCCATGAAGTCTCTATCTATCTTGGGGCTTGTACAAGCTCACCAAAAGTTGTTTGCTAATCTCTTCATACTTTAGCTAGTAAAAGTCATGAAATTACCAATGTAATATCCTAGACATAAATTCAGTCGATATAGGACATGATATGAAAAATAAATAAAGGGCGTATGAAAAAAGAAACCTCCTTATCTTATTCCCTTTTTGCCAAGTTGCAATCTAGGGTTTGGCCTCATTTTTTGAAGAAGAAAACTTGGTAATCTAGAAGGAAACCTCAAATATAGGTATGACACTGTTGCAAATTGCCTAAATACTGGAGAACATTGAGGAGGTGTGTTCTAAGACACTATTTGGAAAGAGTCTTCTTCCACTGCCCAACCAAACTATGTTGGGTGTTCCTCAAGGTGGCTTTTAATTCACAAAACAAGTATTCGTAGAAATCAATAGACTTTTAAACCCTAGAATCTCTTTCTAACTCCTTAGACATCTATCAGGTCATAGGGATCATCCTATTATATGTAGGAATAGGAAACAAGAGATAGATTGGCGTGCAAGTAATTTTGTTTGTGACGCAGTGCTTGAGCGTTGTGGAGAGTGGTCAGAGAGTGCTGGCTACTAGAAATCAATTCGGCAGCCAACCCTTGGGCACCGCTAAGCGCTAGGGGGAGTGTTGGTCTCTGAAATTGTAATTATATATATGCCTTGCTTAATGTCCTAAGTCCCAAGAGCGCTATTCACTGGTTTTCTTGAAAAATCAAGGCTTTAAATCAACTCTCTAAGTACCAATTGGTGTACTTAGAAAATCTCCATCCAATAACTCATTTTAAAAACCCTTTTTGTAAACTAAAACCCTAAAGCTTCAAAAAAACATTTTACACAAAAAACACACGAGTCGTGAATGGATTGAATACTCACACTCNTGGTGTACTTAGAAAATCTCCATCCAATAACTCATTTTAAAAACCCTTTTTGTAAACTAAAACCCTAAAGCTTCAAAAAACATTTTACACAAAAAACACACGAGTCGTGAATGGATTGAATACTCACACTCTAAATCCAAATCTACAACATAAGTTAAATCAAAGTAGGCAACTAGGTATCTTGGTCAACTTACCTCATCTAAAGTTGATAGGATCTTAAAAGGCTTCACTGTATCATTATGTAGCTTGAGGTTCTCCACTGTATCATGATTCAATTTTCAATCTTCAATAGTCTCTTAACCATGGATTTAGTTGAGATATAAGATACATAGTGACTTCATTGATTTTGCAAATTACAAAATTTTTCCTAAAATTTTCCTTGGTGATTCTCCTCCTTTTTAGAAAAGCAATAAACAAACTATTGTTATTCGTTCCTCTGTTGAAACTGAGTATCACTTTATAACATCGATCATTTAGGCATTTCTTTATCTGCTCTTATCCCTATGTATTGTGACAGTACAAGTGCTATTCATATTGGCCACAACTTGTTTCATGAGCATACACAGCAAACTGAGATTGACTGTCACTTTGTGTGACATCATCATCAGGATTGTACTCTCTCTCTTCCCTTTCTTTCTTTTACTATGCAGTTTGTGGATTTTTTCATGAAATCTCACACTATTGAGTGGTTTCGTTTTCTACTTGGCAAACTCTTAATGTTCTTTGCTACAACATCATGAGTTTGGGGTGGGGTGTTAAAGAATTTTAGTCTATTTAGTATTAGGGGTATTTTAGTTATTTAGTTAATTGTGGTTTTGCCCTACTATGTAAGGTCTATATTGTGTATTTTTCTAATTAAGCTTTAACATAGATTAAGAGTTTGGTAATTGTAACACCCCAATTTCACATTTTAAGGCATTGAATAACTATACATCATCCAACCAAGAGAGCATACTAAAATACCACAAAAAAAATCCATGCCAATAATCCACATCATCTATCTCAAAAAAATTCCCAAAGTAAACAAAAACTCCTTGAGATTACATCCAAAACTAAAATAAAAATCTTCCAATGAACTAATAAGAGAAATATTCCACAAAAAAAAAAAAAATTCATCCACATTTTAGGAATTTAAACTAAAGCAAAACATCTCTAGGTATTCGCTTTCAGATTCATGTCATGATCCGCCTCAGCCTCCTAATCGACCTACTTACCTAGGGTTATGCTTTTCTCAAATCCAAAATCTGAAAATATATTTATATTGTAGGGTGAGCAATAAGCCCAATAAGAAAACCTTTTCAAAGCCAAACAAGATTTTAAAATAATAAAACAAGTAAGTCTCATTTGGTAAAATAACATATAATAATTTGAAGTAAAATAATGACAGCTAAGGAGATCTAAAGTTTACTGTACAAAACATGAAGTTTCATTAAGAAGTAAAACTCTTTCTTAAAGCAATAGTTAATCACCACAAGTATATCTTATGTATGCACGGTGACTACCGTGAAAATATACATCTAGAATATCCTAGCTCACACGTACCCTCCAATCAACACTCAATCCTCAATGGATAAACCGTTTTCAAAAAGCGCATATGCCGCTGCATCGGCATTGACATAACTTTCTAGAAACAGTATACTAATCCTTCGTTTTGATCACTGTGAGGGAATAATGCAAATTATTGAACCTCACAAGAAACTAAATAATTACACTACGGGTGATAGAGAACCTTCAAACCCCTTAAAAGATAATTTCCATAAAATTCATATATTCAAGAAAACATGCAAGAGATCTCTAAGAACCTCTTTTAATTGATCATAATCAAGAACTAGAGTTTTAAAGTCAAGAACATGAGATTTGTAATATAAATCATGTGTTTATTCATAAAAGTGTTACATATAATCGATTGAAAATCAAAATCATTGTTTATCTAACATATAATTATGAATTTGAATCGAAAGATGCATAATATAACCCTAATTCCTCAATGAGTGAGTTTGAGAAATAAACCCTACCTTAATTTCTGTAAATTTTGATCCTAATGGGTTTGGTTGTGATTTTCACGTGTAAATCCTTCGAAATCTCTCTATTTTCTATTCTTCCAACTCTCCTTAGCCTTCTAGGGTTGCAAACTGTTGAAATCTGAACTAAAAAACTTCCTTAGAGTATTTATAGAGTTAAAACCTATTTAGTCACAAGCATGATCACCGCAAAACGTGCACTACCGTTCAAATGTGAATGGTGTTCGAACGTAATTTCTATTCGAACGTGCTCTACTCCTAATATCTCTTGTTCTATTAGTTCTGTTTGTCAGAACTAAACTTATGGGGCTAAGCTGCGCTTGAACAGGATTTGCGTTCGAACGTACTCTAGTTTTTTTCCTAAACTTTCAAAGCAGTTTAGCCTAATTAGAAGTTGAAATATGAAATTTATATGAAATACAGTTTTATATAGCCCTTGAAGTCTAGTTTCTAATGGCCAAGAATTAGATCCTTTGGATATCAGGAAAAAAAGTTATGATTAAAATACTAAGGTAGTATCTAATTTTTTTCTACCTAATTTCTCTCAATATGCATCTAATATTCAGAACACCTCCAAACTTCTGAAACATCCATATAACCTATCTTAAGTCATTTTATGTATATGAAATACATGATAATTTAATATGATCCAATTAAGGATCAAAGTATCGTTTCGAAACGGTCGAAACATTCGAAACGTTTCCGTTTTCAAAGAGATCGAAACGAATCAGTGATGAAATCAAAATTTTAATACTTCGAGGCATTCCATAATGTTTCGAAATGTTTTGTTATATTTCAATATATTTGCACAATTATTTCGAAATGTTTTAAGGTATTTCAAGATATTTTTGTACAATTTGATCAATGTTTTGAAAAAATAATACTTAAATTTTTTTTTTTTTTCATTTTGTTTTCGAAACGGGTCGAAACATTTTCTCATTTTGATCCTTGTATCCAATATACTTTACACATTGAGGCTTATAGTAATTATATTCTCTCATTTTGTTCTCTTTTTTCTCTCTCTTCGATCAAAGTTATCAATCAGCACATAATCCAACCATATTAATGCCCTCTCTAATGATTGTTGTTTGCACATCACTCTTTCTACGTAGCATTATTTTTTGTCCTGTATAGTGTCTCCACCACTGTAGTAACTAAGCAGTCTGTTCAAGATTGCTTTACCCAAATATAGTGTTTCATGGAGTAGGGGGATTATCGTTTTTTGTTCAGTCGCTTGAGTGATATGCCTTTTGTTTTATAATTGGATTTATTTAGTTACCTTATTTTCTCATTTCTTTTCTATTGCTGGGCCTTGCGTATTGCACTGCAGGGTAAAGCAAAGGCAGAAAAGAACCAAGCAATGGAGCAGTCAATGAGTGAGAATTCTTGTCAGTTGTGTGCAGTTGAGAAGCTCACTTTTGAACCACCACCTATATTTTGCACACCATGTGGTGCTCGCATCAAGAGAAATGCAATGTATTATATGATAGGAGCTGGTGACACACGGCACAACTTCTGTATTCCATGCCATAATGAATCCCCTGGGGAAACTATCATAGTGGATGGAACTACTATTCTGAAGGCAAGGCTGGAGAAGAAGAAAAATGACGAGGAAACTGAAGAATGGGTATGCATTATCCATTTATTGAATGATGTTCCTTAAAGATGTTCATTGGATCTCACATTGTGATGCTGTTTTGCAGTGGGTTCAATGTGATAAATGTGAAGCTTGGCAGCATCAGATCTGTGCACTGTTTAATGGTCGAAGGAATGATGGTGGGCAAGCTGAATATACTTGTCCAAACTGCTATATAGCAGAAGTTGAAACAGGAGAGCGAAAACCCTTACCGCAGAGTGCTGTGCTAGGAGCAAAAGATTTGCCTAGAACAATTCTCAGTGATCACATAGAGCAGCGATTATTTACACGGTTGCAGGAAGAAAGACAAGAGAGGGCAACACTTCAAGGGAGAAGTTATGATGAGGTGATTCATTTGACTTGCCATGTGATGTAATATTAGATGATAGTTGATGTTTGGAGTTCAATCACATAAAAGTATATTTTTTGAAGCTGTGCATATCATGTGGTTCTATGTAGTATTTTTGACGTTAATAATGTGCTAATTAATCTTCATACGTTGCGCAGTAGAATGAACTACGTAAAAATGGATGCTTTTAAGCAGCTGCAGATGTTTTTACTTTAGTTCTAACAATTGAGAAAGCTTTTCGCTGCCTCTGCTTTTGAGACAAAAGTGCTTTAGGGAAGTAAATGAACTGAAGTTCTCAGCTCAGCAGTTTGATTTTCGGCAAGAACGCCAGGAAATTTCCTGCAACGCTTCCTAAGTTCTGCACTTATTTTTGCTGTTTTTTACCGTCTCTTTTTTTCATTGGGGAGTGCAGTAAGAAATTGAGAAGTTCAGCTTGAAGTTGTTTCCTTAGTTTCTGTTTCATTATTTATGTGTGGATTGACTTTTTTTGTTTGGTTCTATATAACTGTGTCAGGTTCCAGGAGCTGAAGCCCTTGTAGTCAGAGTTGTATCATCAGTGGACAAAAAGTTGGAAGTGAAGCAGCGATTCCTTGAGATTTTTCAGGGAGAGAATTACCCTACTGAATTCCCATATAAGTCCAAGGTATGCATAATATGAAGTCACATTTGCAAGTTTGATGTATTCTGTCTATGTACAAAGCCATGGGATATCTTCTTTCTTTTTTTCCCCTTTTGAGAGTTAGCTATTCTGTCGCACAAGTGATGATACCATCTGAAATACTTGTAAACCATGGGCTACTATTGTTTCTTCCAGGTAATATTGTTATTTCAGAAAATCGAAGGTGCAGAAGTGTGCCTGTTTGGCATGTATGTTCAAGAGTTCGGATCAGAATGTCAACAACCAAATCATCGCCGTGTTTATCTCTCATATCTGGATTCTGTTAAGTATTTCAGGCCTGAAGTTAAAGCTGTGACAGGAGAGGCTCTCCGTACCTTTGTTTACCATGAAATTCTGGCAAGTTTCTGACTAAGCTTCTGTACTTCTGGTGGTGGTGTTACTTCTAGTACTACTACCACTACTGGTTTTATTTTGGTACTACATTGACCTTCTTGATTATATATCTGATTTTATTCCAGATTGGATACCTAGAATATTGCAAGAAAAGAGGTTTCTCAAGCTGTTACATATGGGCTTGCCCTCCACTGAAGGGTGAAGATTATATTTTATACTGCCATCCAGAGATTCAGAAGACACCAAAGTCTGATAAACTCAGAGAATGGTGAGCCTAATTCTTTTCAGCTATACTCTTTCTGTTGTAAGAATTTTGAATCAAGTTCTGATCATTGTTGTTGCATCTGTTTGACTTGGAGGTATGTCTTTCTATTCCAGGTATTTATCAATGTTAAAAAAAGGTGCAAAGGAAAATATTGTAGTTGGCCTCACTAATTTATACGACCATTTCTTTGTATCTACTGGTGAATGTAAGGCCAAGGTAACTGCAGCACGGCTACCTTACTTTGATGGAGACTATTGGCCTGGTGCTGCGGAGGATATGATCTATCAGCTTCAACAAGAAGAGGATGACAGAAAACAGCATAAAAAGGGAATCACCAAGAAGGCTGTTACAAAAAGAGCTTTGAAAGCATCTGGCCAAACTGATTTTTCTGGCAGTGCATTGAAAGATCTGCTATTAATGCATAAAGTAATTCCATTGTCCATTATTTGTAAGCTTAGTGTTTATGTGCCAGTTATATGATCATAAGTTGGGAACATATCAAGGAAGCTATTGATTATCTTTGAGCTTAGGAATAATTTTTGTTTAGAGAAAAATCGTTTTATTCTTACAACCTATCTGTTTTCTCCAGCTTGGTGTAACTATTTTCCCAATGAAGGAAGATTTTATCATGATTCATTTGCAGCATGCATGCACTCATTGCTGTATTTTGATGATATCGGGGAACCGTTGGGTTTGCCATCTGTGCAAAAATTTTCAGCTCTGCGGCAAGTAAGAATTCTGAAATCTTAACTATATTGATTCTAGAGATGTACTTTTGTGTTGCTTCTTTCTGTCCCCCACCCCCTCTTGTGAGATACAAATCATTGAGCATCCAACGAGTTCGGAATCTGGTACGGATATCTTGACCTAAATGGAGCATCTGTGCTTCATAGCACCTTAGAGACTTGTATCTTTTCTGCTCCCTCTAGAGGTGCCTCCAGATGTTTGTCTCTAGCCTTGATAGTACCTTCTGGTCTTGCATTCCTATTTTGCCAGTTTCTCAAATATGAAGTCCATCCTTTATTGTTTCCATGAGTACTTTAATACCTGTTCTGTGGGTTTACCTACCTGGCGCATAAAATTAAATAGTGGCGGACAAAATTAAATCCTTACCTGGCGCATTAGATGCAGTAGCTAATATGAGCTAATCACTAAGAATAGGGGAGAAAAAAGATTAAAGGAAAGGAGGAAAGATGGAAAGGGGGTTGTAGGAGCAAAGCATGGTGGTTTGCTTTCACGTTATTCAGAAGAATCTCTCACATTAACAACTTTCATCATTGCAATTTTTTGTACTTTCTCATCTGGAAAATCATGTACTTATTTATTATCGTCGTTTTTTGCTGGATCATCACTTAATGGCGCGTCAAAGAAACAAATCACACATTCTTGAATCTTGGGGTTCCGAACAGCTCATGTGCATTAAGAAATTTTTGCTCATGTTTTTGTAGTTGTTATGAAGCCGAACAAAAGCTTGAAGAGAGAGACAGGCATCCTATCTATCAAAGGGACAAGCACGCTCTTTATCCAGTATGTTGTTTTCCTGTGGGAGTTTATTTTTTCTACTAGAAGGCTCTTAGTCATACAGCCAGCTTTCTTTATTTAGTATTTCTTGGTCACTTTGTTTCTACCTCTTGACTGAGAAGTGAGATGGTCAAACCCTGCAGGTTGAGGTCATCGATGTACCTGCAGATACAAAGGATAAAGATGAGATTCTTGAGAGTGAATTCTTTGATACCAGACAGGCATTTCTGAGTCTTTGTCAAGGAAACCATTACCAATACGATACACTACGCTGTGCTAAGCATTCCTCAATGATGGTACTGTATCATCTTCACAATCCCACTGCTCCTCCGTTTGTGACAACATGTAGTATATGTCATCTTGATATAGAAGGCGGTCAGGGTTGGCGCTGTGAGATTTGCCCGGAGTATGAGGTATGCAATGCATGCTATCAAAAGGATGGCAGAATTGATCATCCTCATAAGTTGACTACTCATCCATCTATAGCTGATCATGCACAGAATAAAGAAGCTAGGCAATTACGAGTTTTGCAGGTACATTATTATATACATTTCATTCCTTTGTGGTTATATATTTATGCCTTCTAAATTAATGGCAGTTGGCTCTCTGCTATTGATGATCAGAAATTTGTTTTTTAATAACATTTTTTTTCAAGAAAATACATTTAATTACCTGACTTCCTAGTACTAATTGAAATCATACGCACATACATTCAAGGGTTAATTATTTTAATGAGTATTGTCTATAATAGATTATCTAAGTCACATGGGAGCTCATAATACTTTTGTTTATTATAGAATAATAAATATTCCTCGTAATTTTAAGATGATTTGCAAGTCCAAGCATTTTTTTTCTAGGTTAAATTGATTAGGTAGTACAATTATCTACAATGGGACAAAGTTGGTTCCTAAAAAACATGTAATCAAATTGAATTGTTAAGTTATTCAGTAGTATTTTAGCGTGTTATCTAGATTGACCCCAATACGGTGAACTCAGATGTATTGGGGTTAATAGGTCTTAACACTTGAAACGCAAAATTCAGTGCCCAATTAAAATCGAATTCAACAAATTCCCAAATAATTAAGCTAATAAATGTGAAAACCCCCAATTTAGTCCAAAATTCAAATACTTAATCAAATGAAGAAGTGGCACCAATTCCTCAATTTCTAGCCAACACGTGCAAGAAGATTCTCACTTAAGTATATTTTATTAATCACGTGAGGAGTGTAAAATTGCAAGTATGTAAAAAGAATGCAAGAGACAATCACAACCACATCCTAATTCACAAGCCTCAAAGTTAGATTACAAGCATGAAAGTCGTATACGTTAATACCATAGTTGGACGCTTTCTCGTAACTTGAATCTTCACTTCAGAGTCAACCGCAAGTTATTGACGACTAGCTTCAATAGGTGACTAATCGAATTCCACGATCCTCGTTGAAATCCTCTTCTACTCCTTTGATCTAGATCCTTAGTTCTACAGGTTTTCGGTGTTCTACAAGATCTCTCTCAAGTTGTAGATTGATTTCATGTAATAACTCTAGATTGATTAAGTAGAGATTGGAGTTTTGTTGTGGGAGGGTAGGATTATTCTCTGAATCATTTTCTAGCTTGTTTTAAGCCATTGAGACTCTCCCTAGTCAAATAAATCAGTCTCATATTATAGGTGGACAAAATAGATGTTAATTGGTGAGCAAGAAGCTTGAAAATTATGAAGGACTCAGAGAGCAGTGAGAGAGTGCTGGCTATTGGAAAATTGCTCTCAGCCGTGAACAGTGGACTGCTCGAGCAGTTAGAGAGCTTTGTACACTATTTTGCAATTTCAAGCCCATTCGATTTTCCATAACAGCTAAAGCGCTTGGAAAGTGGTGTTCACCAGTTTCTCGACGTAAAACCAATACTCTATTAAACCTTTTGAGCACCAAGGAGGTGATACTCAAAAAGCCTTGATACCATGACTCTTATATTGTTTTAAAACCAGCTCCCTCCAAGTTTTAAATTTTTTTTCCATTAATACGAGAGTCATGCTACGACTGTTCACACTAAAACATATAAATTCATTTTATCACCTAAGTGAAACCAATCTAAGGCAACTGGGCATCTAGGTCTCTTACCTCAGCTAAGCTTGATGGATTCTAAGAAGTCTTCACATGTTGCATTGTAGGTTGAGCTTGTTCATGACATCTTGTTTTGATCTCCATTCTTCTCAAACATCTTGACCATGAATTTAGTTGAGATATAAGTAAAAGTGATCTTAGAGAATTGGCCAATTACAATCAACTTTGCTTGGTAGGTTTCGTTAAATAATAATTAGTAGAGGGTCAACTCTATTTTATTTGGTTTACCATTGTTACAATGTACGAAAGACATGGATAATTATTACTGGTGGGTCAATAATATTTTCTTTTATACGTCCGATGACATTTTCTACAATATACATTGTTTTGTTTCTTCCTTTTTCATTTTCTTCTCTTTTGTCTTTGGATTAAACGTCATTGTAAAATAAAGCCTTTTGCATTTAGTGCTTAGATGTTCTTTGGTATTTAGAGCCATGCTATGTCTTAATCTGTGTACTTCTCTACAAAAGATGATCAAAAAGAGAAGATATAAAACTACTTTTGAGCGCATTGCAGGGTGAGATAACCTCATTCAAAATTTCGGATGAACATGTTTTGTTTTCGCCTATTTCATTGAAAAATGATTTTGCATCAGGAGTTTGAGGGAGAGGCAAGAGCATTTTTTCATTAAGTATATCAAGATATGTTTAGTCAACCGCCATAAATCATTCCGAGTCTACAAAACAAATAAAAGAGTGGTCCAGTGCACAAGGTTTTCGTTACTGTAGGGTCTAGGGATCGTTAACTCAACATAGTCTTACTCCAACATGAAAATAGATTGTTTCTGCGACTCGAATCCTTCTTATCGTTGTGTCAAGACCCACTCGCAAGTGTAACAAACAAATATGATTTAATATTTTGAGATTGTAAAAAGATTCTAAAAGACTTGTGGAATTGTAAACTCTTCATATGGTATGATGTTGTCTCTCATGAGAGCCATACTGTGGGTGTACATGCCATACCTCTTACGCATAACACAAGTCCAAGGAGCAATGGTTGTGCTTATTCAATGATATTTGCCATTGAGGCATGATTTTTAAGTAATTTAAGCTTTAAGAATGTTGGGGGTAATGTGATGATTATTAAAGCAATAGATGGGGATAGGTGATGTGAAGACCTCAATGATTGTAGACCTATTAGGAAATGAGAGAGACACCCAAGTGGCATAGACCTTTTTGGACAAAGTGGGCTTTAAATTAGGGAGACAACCAAGTGGTAGAGACCTTTTTGGACAAAGTGGGCTTCAACTTAGTTTGTCCCGTGGGGAAGGAAATTATAGTGAGAATATCTTCCACAGTGTATAGTTGAAAAAGGGTGAGGGGGAGTTAAAAAATCTTCAGTGTTACATTAATTATGATAGGGTCAGGAGAGGACATAAGTGAGGGGTGTTAGAGTTTCTTGATGAAGTTAGTTAGTTGGAATGTGAGGGGGTTAAGGGCTTCTCTAGATATTGTTATTTTTCATGAGACTAAATTAGAGAAAGTGGATGAAACTTTGGTTTAGAGTATTTAGGAGACTAGGTCAAAGGAGTAGGCTTTTCGCCTATCATGTGGTCTTGGGGGAATTGTTGTTGGGATACTAGATTTGCTCATAGAGTAGATTGTGTCCTTGGTTCTTATTTTGTGTCGGTTCGACTTGAGTTGAAGGGTAGAGGGGAATGGTGGGTTACTTTAGTTTATGATCCTAATCGTCCTAGAATTAGACAATCTTTTTGGGATTGGTTATACGACTTGTTTGGTTTGTGTAGTCCAAGGTGGTGTATAAGGCATACTTCAATGTTATTAGAAATTCAAATGAGAAGTTGAGGGGTTATAGGGTGATAACTAGTATGAAAAATTTTGATACCTTTATAAGTGAGTCTAAATTGAGGGAATCTCTTTGTCTAATGCTCAATTTACATGGTCTAGGAGCTTAGATAATCGTATTGCTACACGAATAGATAGATTCCTTTTCCATGATGAGTGGGAAGATGTTTTTCCAAATATGATACAAAATATTATGTCTAGAGTGGTGTCTGACAATTTTCCTATTGTTCTTGTGTCCAATCTAATTAAGTGGGAGCCTACACCATTTATATTTGAGAATGTGGTTAAGTCATCATTTTTTCTGAGATAGATGTAAAGAGTGGTGCTCCAACAACCAGGTAGAAGGTTGGGAGAGTTTCAAATTTATGAAAAAACTAAGGCGGATTACGGGTAAAAAAAAATGGAAGTGTGGAATAAAGAGGCTTTTGCAGACGTCAGGATTAGGAAGTTAGAGATTTTGAGGGAAATTGAGGAATTAGATAGTTTGGAGGAGTGCCGTATATTGACAGATGATCAAATTAGGAAAATGGTTCTTTTAAGGAATGAGTTTGAGGAGGTATTAGTAAGGGAGGAAACTAGTTGGAGGTAGAAGACAATAGTTAAACGGGTTAAAGAAGGTGATTGCATGACAAAATTTTTTCATATAATGGTAGTAGGTAGAAGGAGAAAGATTGTCATTAAACAAATAGAAATTGAGTTCGGTGAGGTTGTAAAAAATCCTTTGTTGGTTGCTAAGGAGATTATAGAGTTTTATAAAAATCTATACACAAAAAGTTGTAGTTGATTGTAGTCTTATATTATTTGAGCGAGCTGTTTAGATTGAGAGACCTTTTGAGGAGAAGGTTAGGCAAGTTTTGTTTGATATGGATAAGAAAAAGGCCCTAGGTCCAGATGGTTTCACTATGACTTTCTATCAGAAAAATAGTTTGGAGCAGTATTATTTAAGGCGTAAAGCGAATCGAAATGAACTGATCTCCTGAGAGCCTAGGCGAGAAGCGAGAAGCGAAGCGAGCACTTCATTAAAACAAAACGAACAATATAAAAAATAAGTAAATATTTTAGTTTCATACTTTGATTACTCTAAAATATTCAAGTTTTAACTTTACAAATATAAAATATTTAAATGGAATCAAAATAATAAACATCAACATATTTTAAATAGACAAGATATTAAATATTGAACATTATTGTATTCTAAAAATAATCAATTGACATAATCACGTCATCTAAATGTAAAGTTAGCAAATGTGGGTTCGACTTCCACCGTGATTGATTAATATCACCACTAAACAAAGCATTCATAAATTGATTAATCAAATAGAGCATATGACAAATTGATTAATCAATTTGATTAACCAAGCAAATTGATTAACAAAAGCATTCACTTCAAAACAAAGCATTCAACATTATCTAATCATAATAAGACAAATTGTCATATGATACTGTTACATGAATCAATCAATTTATTTTATATATATACACATATAACATCATCTCTGCTAGGGTTTGGTTAATGTTAAAGGAGGAGGAGGGGAAAAAAGGAGGAGAAAATAAAAAAACTGCAGTTAGGCGTTTGCTTTTCTCGTCTGGCTCGCTTCTTCGCTTTGTCGCCTAAACTCGTTTTTCTCTCACTTTACTTAATCTCGCTTTGCCTTGGATGTTCAAGGCGTCCAAGGCTCACTTCGCTTCGCTTATCGCCTAAGCGCTCGCCTAGGCTCTCTTTTCACAACACTGGTTGGGAGACTATTACAGATGATTTGATGTGTGTATTCAATTAGTTTTTTGCTAATGGGATAGTGGGGAGAAGTGTTAATTCTTCCTATCAAGTTGGTTCCTAAAAAAGATCGTTCGATTAAAGTAAATGATTATAGACCTATCAGTGAGTTGACTAGTTTGTATAAAATTATCACTAAAGTGTTGTTGTCTAGAAGACTTTGTGANGAAATTGAGTTCGGTGAGGTTGTAAAAAATCCTTTGTTGGTTGCTAAGGAGATTATAGAGTTTTATAAAAATCTATACACAAAAAGTTGTAGTTGATTGTAGTCTTATATTATTTGAGCGAGCTGTTTAGATTGAGAGACCTTTTGAGGAGAAGGTTAGGCAAGT